ATAAAAATATATATATATATAGTCTTAGTCCAAGCATACACCAAACGCAAGATAAGTGTTATTCAACCTAATCCTAGCCAAGCCAAGCCAAGCTAAGACAGTTCCTAAGTGTAGTACATGTCAAAAAAATCCTATGTAACAAATGAGCCCTATCTAGGACTTGATAGAATAATTTATTAAAATTTATTTAACGATTACATTAGAAATACAAAATTCATTAAAAGTTTTAGTTAACTTATTGAAAAATGGGGTTTGAACAGAGGGGTCCTTTTATAACGGCAAGCGCTTCCTATTTCCAGTAACGGTATTTTAAACAATGAGTCTTCCCGCGTACACAGCAACCCCAATCCAACTCTTTCAGCTTCCCAAACAACCACCACTTCTTAACCCACTTCCAAACCCATCCCACTCCACCTCTCCCAATCCAACCCATCACAAGAAACACTCTGTCTATCCGGATAAAAAGACCCAAAAGCCCATAGACCGCACTGTTTCATGGACCTCCTCCATATCCCACCGCTGCCGAAATGGTCAATTGGCTGAAGCTGTTGCGCATTTTATCCAAATGAGACGAGCCGCCGTCGAGCCAAACCATATCACATTCGTTACGCTTTTCTCCGGCTGTGCCCATTTTCCATCGAAGGGTGTGTTGTTTGGGGCTTCGCTGCACGCTTATGCCCGGAAACTCGGCTTGGATACAAATAATGTGATGGTGGGCACGGCGGTGATTGATATGTACGCAAAGTGTGGTGGGGTGGATTTTTCTAGGCTTGTTTTTGATGGGCTGTATGTGAAGAATTCAATGTCTTGGAATACGATGATTGACGGGTATATGAAAAATGGCGAGGTTGACGATGCGGTCAAGCTGTTTGAACAAATGCCACAGAGAGATGCGGTTTCTTGGACTGTTTTGATTGGTGGGTTTGTCAAGAAAGGTCAGTTTGAGCAAGCGTTGGAGTGGTTTCGGGAGATGCAGCTCTCGGGTGTGGAACCAGACTATGTAACCTTAATTGCTGTAATTGCTGCTTGTGCTGATTTGGGAACGCTTGGATTAGGCTTGTGGATAAATCGGTTTATTATGAAGCAAGATTTTAGAGACAATATTAGGATAAGTAACTCGTTGATCGATATGTATTCTCGATGTGGTTGTATTGGTTTTGCTCGTCAAGTCTTTGAGAGCATGCCCAAAAGGACATTGGTATCATGGAACTCGATGATTGTGGGCTTTGCAGTTAATGGGCATGCAGAGGAAGCTCTCGAGTTCTTCAACCTCATGCAGAAGGAGGGGTTCAAGCCAGACGGGGTCAGCTTCACTGGAGCTCTGACTGCGTGCAGCCATGCCGGTTTAGTCAACGAGGGGCTCCATTACTTTGATAACATGAAGAGAATTCATAGAATAACCCCAAGAATTGAGCATTATGGGTGTGTAGTTGATCTGTATAGCCGTGCAGGGATGTTGGAAGATGCCCTGAATGTAATCGAAAACATGCCAATGAAGCCAAATGAAGTTGTGGTGGGTTCTTTGCTAGCTGCATGTAGAGCCAATGGGAATATCAATTTAGCTGAAAGATTAATGAAGTACCTCTATGAGTTGGATCCAGGTGTGGATTCCAACTATGTGCTTTTGGCCAATATATATGCAGCGGATGGTAGGTGGGATGGTGCAAGTAGAGTTAGGAATACCATGAAGGCCCTCGGAATACAAAAGACGCCGGGGTTTAGTTCAGTTGAGATCGACTGTGACATTCATGAATTTGTAGCCGGTGATAAATCCCATGTTGACGCAGAGCATATATATTCAACCCTTGAGCTTCTCTCTTTTGAGCTCAAATTATGTGGGTATGTTCCAAAAACAATTCTGAGGGAATCATACGAGTTTGACTGATACTTGGGTTATCTGAAGGTACAATTCATTTTTGTAACTACTTGCCCTTCATTTTCTTGCCTAACTTCTTGACTCTTACAAAATGGATTGACTTGCATTTTAGGTTCTTGGAAGGAAGCAGAAAGCAGAGGGATCAGCTATACTTAGCCTTCAGGACAGCAAGGGCAGTATTCCTGCAAGGCCTAATGGATTTTCGGAGTCTCTTACTTTTGCTGATGGTCGATGAGGAAAGCTTTAATTGGTAAGTCAAGAGAAACTATTGGCTATTGTGGCATTATCCTCAAATAAATTGCTTATTTTCTCAATAGATGTATTTCTACCATATAGGATATCCAGCGGGTACTACCATATAGGATATGATATTCCTTTCGATTGTGCATATGTGCCAATCTCATACACACAGACGCTTCATCAGTATTATCAGGAGCTGTTACTTGAGCTGTAAGAATTGTCTGGCACATCAATGTTGATAGACGATAGTTGATTGAAATATTATTATTATTTTTGTTATTTCATGACCTATGGATGTGTTTTCACGTTATATACATGTTACTTTGTAAAGAATTAATTGCATTCTCATGTTAAAACATCTCACTATATTATCTATGCACACACAAGCGCATAATTTGCTTATAATATGACTTATTGATTGTTGCAAAATGAGGGCAGAGCTAGACAGTTCAACAATTTTAACCTTCCTACCTAAACTTCGATTGTGTTCCGACAATTTTTCCAGGAATTATTAAGTGGGAAATTTACTTGTTTAGAATCAGAAGTCAGGTATTTACCATGTAGTCATAATCAACATCATCATTTAAACAACCTGTAGAAGCCCTCAAGCATGCTGTTTTTGATCCTTGCTCGTTAGTTATATATTCATGAGCCAGCCTAGCACATAAAAATTAAACTGGATAATATACCTATATGCAAATTGAATAGTTTTTATTAATTGATGTAGTCACCCTAATAGCTTTGTAAAATTTCAATCCAATTTTATCCTTTTATGTAAGCATTTGAATGAATTTTCTTCTGTGATATTGAACACAGATGTTGATGATAACATGAAGATAATTCACAGAATAACCCTGAGAGTCGAGCATTAGGAGTGCATAGTTGATATGTATAGCCGTGCAGAGATGTTTGAAGTGCCTTGAAAGTAATCGAAAACATGCCAACGAAGCCAAATGAAGTTGTGGTGTGTTTTTTGCTAGCTGCATGTAGAACCAATGGGAATATCGGTTTAGCTGAAAGATTAATGAAGTACCTCTATGAGTTAGATCCTGGTGTTGATTCCATCTATGTGCTCTTGGTCAATATATATGCAACGGATAGTACTAAAAGATACTGGGATTTAGTTCAGTTGAGATTGACTGTAACATTCATGAATTCGTGGCTGGTGATAAATCTCATGTCGACGCAGAGCATATATATTCAACCCTAGAGTTTATCTCTTTTGAGCTCAAATTATGTGGGTATGTTCCAGGGGATTTTGCGAGGGAATCATATGAGTTTGATTGAGATATATGACTACTTGTGAAGCTCCAAAATATATATATTTGTCTATATCATTCATATTTGGGCTGTGAAATAAAACCATCACTCATATGCTCCAAAATTAGCATACCATGAAATTTTCCTAGCTTTTATAAACTTGCAAACTTTTATCCGCTGTTGGTCTTTTGAGCTCAAATTATGTGGGTATGTTCCAGGGGATTTTGTGAGGGAATCATACGAGTTTGATTGAGATAAATGACTACTTGTGAAGCTCCAAAATATATATTTGTCTATATCATTCATATTTGGGCTGTGAAATAAAACCATCACTCATATGCTCCAAACCAAAATTAGCATACCATGAAATTTTCCTAGCTTTCATAAACTTGCAAACTTTTATCCGCTGTTGGTATATATATATATATATCCAAAAATTTATTGTAAACTCTGCGCTTACAACTTTACCTTTAATAATCTCTTTTTAAAATTGCTGCTGTATACCAAGTCGTCAACTTCTAATTTTCTTACTCTTCTCAATGAGCTATCGTAGAGCATGTTATCCCCAAATCTTCTTGGTGAACAATTAGCAAATCACTGGGAAAGTCAGACGTTTGATGGCTTTTCTCTTTCAGTCTGAGAAGGGTAGAACGGAAAAATTCTTATGTCCTTGTGCGGTTTACAGTCTCTAGCATTTCTGCAGAGAGGGTGAGTGGGAGGCGGAAGAGGAAGGAGGGAGAGGGGAAGGGGGAGGGTGAGGAGTTGTAGCCTTTTTTCCATTTATTATTTATTATTTTAAAATTTTAAAATTCTATTTTTTTCAAAAATCTAGGTGGTGTTAATTAACCTTGCTAAAGTTTGGGCTTAATGAATTTTTTAAAATTTTTCTTCAGCCACAAAAAAGCATTGGCACAATCGTTACCCACTATTTATCATTTCTTTTTTAATTCAAAGAACAAACCTTCAGTTGATGAGCAAAGGAAATGTGAGCTGTTGAGGATGATTTTTTTTTTTGGCCAAAGTTGAGGAAGATTAGGCATTGAACCCATAGTTGCTGAATATAAGTTTCAATAACAGAAATTAATTTTGTTTGGTATAAGGATGTGGCCAGCCGTACATGAAAGAACGGCTTTTGGCCCTTAAAACAAACAAACAAAAACCTTCCTAAAGCTACTGCAAACTCTTTTGAATCCAAGGGGTTTCCTCTGTATTCATTTTCTCTTGCCCCCGCCCCCCTCCCTCCCCGTAATGTTGTGGAGAGTTTCCCCCCAATTTTTGGCTAGGATTTTGCTCCCTTGCCTTTTGGCAAGCTTTTGTGTTCCTCCCTAGGCTTTTAGGTCATCTCCAGCCATGGGCTATATCCCAAATATAGCTCTAAATTAATACAAAATCCATCTCCAACCATGGGCTAAATAAAATTTTGGCAAAATTTGGAGGGCCACATTTGGCCCTTTAGCCCTCCAACCGGGCTAAATGTAGCCCAGCTTTGGCCTAGGGCAAATTCATAGTGGACCCCACCATGTGTTTTTCAATCACCAAATATTGAAGCACTCCCCCACTTGCCTTATTAAAAGCTGGATATATATAGAGTTTTAAAAGCTGTTTGAATGTTTCTTGTTGGCAATGACCGTTGGAATCCATACCTATCCACACCCTTTAAAAAAAATAAATAATAATAAATAAATAAATGTGGTCAGTTTTTGCCATCTTTTCAAGTGTTGTTTAAAAAAATAATAAAAGAGTCTTTGTTCATAACCGTTGAACTCAAACATTGAATCCCATCCTTATTATTATTATTATTTTCATAAAAAATCTTATTCTTAGTTCGTGTCATATATGGAATATTGTCTCTAGTTGTGGAATGTATGAGTGTTTAATTAAATTAAACAATATATAGTTGTGGAATGTATGAGTATTGTACCATAGTTTTTCTCAAAATAATAAAATATGAAGGGCCCTAAAATATAGCCATGCCCCAGTAACTAGAAACTAACTAACCCCCTGAGGAATACACTGTACACAGGCTTTTTACCAACAAATTTCAGTTCTGACAGATTTGAGAAAGCAAACTTAGCATCATGAGCAACCGAACTCACTGCCGGCCTTTTGCAAGAACTTCACTGTAAATGCCTCAAAGAGATGCTACACCAAGTCGCCTTTCATAGAGCATCTCTTCCACTCTCTCAGCTACCTCTACCTTCCCATGAATCCTACAAGCACCCAACAACGCGCCCCATAATGCCGCATCTGGTTCCACTGTCATCCCCAAAACCAACTCCTCTGCCTCCTCCACCCGTCCCACCCTGCCTAACATATCCACCATACATGTATAATGCTCCAACCTGGGCTTCACCCCAAACCTCTGCTCCATCATTCCAAAATACTCCCTCCCCTTCTCTGTGAACCCGCCATGACTACACGCTGTCAAAATCGTAGTGAATGTCACTGCATCCGGCCTCTCTCCTGCCTCCACCATCCTATCAAACAATTCAAATACCTCACCAAACACTCCATGCATTCCATACCCAGCCAAAATTGCTGACCAAGAAATCTCATTTCTTATGAGCATTCCGTCAAACACTTTACGCGCACCAACCAAGTCACCACACTTGGCATACATGCTGATCAACGCATTCAAGTTCGCCAAATCTAAGGCAAACCCATTCACGAATATGGCTCCATGTACTTGCTTCCCAAGCCTCAATGCCAATAACCCAGCACAAGATTTGAGAACCACAGGCAAGGTATGGCGGTCAAAGGCTTTAATGGCAGCAAGCATGCGGATAAAAATGGACAGAGATTGAGAGAACAAACCTTGGGACGAATGGGCTCGAATGAGGGTGTTGAAGATGAAGGTCGATTGGCGATTGCAGAAGGAGAAGAGGAGGTTGGCCTGGTTCAGTTGGGCACAGGAGGCATAGGAGAAAACGAGCTTGGTTCGAATGAAGTCGTGGCGGGAAATGCAGAGTCTTATGGTTTTAGCGTGGAGCTGTTTGACGGTTTGGAGATTCTTAGACAAAGAGCAGGCTTCGAGTAGATTGGCGTAGAATGGTATGAGGCCGCGAGGAGGAGGCATGGCCATGCCTGGCTATTTAACGAAAGAGCTGGCCATGCGCATCATCAGCAGCAGCAGCCATGGCTTCAACTTAACCCAATTATCTGTGGTCGGGGGTGCTGCGGGAGAGTTGGGTCAAAATTGGATGGAGGAGAAAGGAAGAGAGAGAGAGAGAGAGATCAGAGAGGGTGAGTGGGAGGCGGAAGAGGAAGGAGGGAGAGGGGAAGGGGGAGGGTGAGGAGTTGTAGCCTTTTTTCCATTTATTATTTATTATTTTAAAATTTTAAAATTCTATTTTTTTCAAAAATCTAGGTGGTGTTAATTAACCTTGCTAAAGTTTGGGCTTAATGAATTTTTTAAAATTTTTCTTCAGCCACAAAAAAGCATTGGCACAATCGTTACCCACTATTTATCATTTCTTTTTTAATTCAAAGAACAAACCTTCAGTTGATGAGCAAAGGAAATGTGAGCTGTTGAGGATGATTTTTTTTTTTGGCCAAAGTTGAGGAAGATTAGGCATTGAACCCATAGTTGCTGAATATAAGTTTCAATAACAGAAATTAATTTTGTTTGGTATAAGGATGTGGCCAGCCGTACATGAAAGAACGGCTTTTGGCCCTTAAAACAAACAAACAAAAACCTTCCTAAAGCTACTGCAAACTCTTTTGAATCCAAGGGGTTTCCTCTGTATTCATTTTCTCTTGCCCCCGCCCCCCTCCCTCCCCGTAATGTTGTGGAGAGTTTCCCCCCAATTTTTGGCTAGGATTTTGCTCCCTTGCCTTTTGGCAAGCTTTTGTGTTCCTCCCTAGGCTTTTAGGTCATCTCCAGCCATGGGCTATATCCCAAATATAGCTCTAAATTAATACAAAATCCATCTCCAACCATGGGCTAAATAAAATTTTGGCAAAATTTGGAGGGCCACATTTGGCCCTTTAGCCCTCCAACCGGGCTAAATGTAGCCCAGCTTTGGCCTAGGGCAAATTCATAGTGGACCCCACCATGTGTTTTTCAATCACCAAATATTGAAGCACTCCCCCACTTGCCTTATTAAAAGCTGGATATATATAGAGTTTTAAAAGCTGCTTGAATGTTTCTTGTTGGCAATGACCGTTGGAATCCATACCTATCCACACCCTTTAAAAAAAATAAATAATAATAAATAAATAAATGTGGTCAGTTTTTGCCATCTTTTCAAGTGTTGTTTAAAAAAATAATAAAAGAGTCTTTGTTCATAACCGTTGAACTCAAACATTGAATCCCATCCTTATTATTATTATTATTATTTTTATAAAAATTCTTATTCTTAGTACGTGTCATATATGGAATATTGTCTCTAGTTGTGGAATGTATGAGTGTTTAATTAAATTAAACAATATATAGTTGTGGAAAATAGTAGTTTAATTAAATTAAAAAATATATAATTGTGGAATGTATGAGTGTTGTACCATAGTTTTTCTCAAAATAATAAAATATGAAGGACCATAAAATATAGCCCTACATGGCTGGAGATGGAAAAATTTAGCCCTGCACTATTCTTTAAAAAATTAATATTTTGGGGAGCTAAATTTTTAGCCCTGGACTACATTTAGCCCTATGACTGGAGATGGCCTTAGGGGATGTTTCTTAGCCTTTTGGGCTAATCTTGCTTGATCTTGGTAGATCTCCACTTTTGCCCTCTTGTTGTATGTGCTATTGAAATTTAAGGGTTTGGTGGTAGCTTTTCTAAGATCTTTTCCATGGAGGTGGAGTTGATGGATCTAGTGGGATCTACTCCCTTGGTGTTGCGGGATCGTGAGGGGTTGCTGGAGATACTGTGACTTCTGAAAGTCAATGGGGAATTTGAGTGGTAATTGCTCTTTCACTTTTTGGTGTTTCCAATCTCAAGTATGCTTTATAGTTGGTTATCCACACGATCTCTATTCAGCACTGGTTCTTGAGTTCTGATCCTGTCATCTTCAACTCTAAGTGAGTTGGGGTTTAATTACATATGGAGTTTGCTCATTATTCTTGCATTGGTTGTTTTTTTATTGGTTTTATTTCTACTTCTTGTCTGCAAGAACCCTCCTTTGGGAGCAGTGTTCTTCTTATGTAATCTTGTATCTGTCTTCATTTCAATGAATCTACTCTATTTGCCAAAAAAACAAACAAACAAAATTTTGGGGGCTTTCCTCGATAGTCTAAATTAATGGTCATTCAAAATAAACAAAGTTCCCAACCCAACCATTTACATAATGTTTATACAATAACTAATCAAGCGCATGCGACAATGGACACACCATGAAAGGAAGCTAGCACCACCAGACACGATATCTATCTTGCCAAAAGGAAAGAGCCACGTCATTCAGCCCCAAACACCAAAAAAAAAAACTTATTTATAATGGGGATAGCACTATTTTGCTTTCTCCGACCAATAAAATAATGACATATAAATAGGGCACTCGTCCTTATACAAGTACTAGTAAATTTGCACATGTACTCTTACTATGGGAAAGAAAAAACCACAACACACACGCGAAGAGGTTTCAAACCCCTGCCATTCCACTCCTCCAACGCCTTAACAACTATTTTGTTGATGTTTTTGTGTTAATAAGCTAAACTATTTATATTTATAGTTTTTTTTTTTCGAGCTGTTTTTGAAAGAATTAGATTTTCAGATGAGCATGTGACATTTCCTTTTCAACTACTTACCACCTTTCCACAAAAGTACTCTTACTAATCTTCACAGTACACTTACCCTACACATAGAGATGATGAAGACAATTTCCTCTATGTAGGTTCTAAGTCACTCATATATCTTATTATGCAATGTATAAAGTGTAAAATGTTGTAGTTTATCATTATAAATAAATGATTATGGCGTGTTTAACCTTCTTTCATTAATGTGTTTGTCAACTCGCTATACAATCAACTTAAATCAGTTAAACTCATCATTCAATGCATGTCCTTCTTATTTTTTGTGATAAACTAATAGATAATTGACTAAATAAACATCCTCCAAAGTTTCAATAAACATTTCCAAGTTTTTCTTACAATTTATGTGGTTTTAATTCAATTTTTACCGATATCGATAGTTTCTTGATATTTCCATAGAAATTTCTGTATTTTTGGACCACTGATATTTCCGAAACCATCGATATTTAGACCTTGGTACTAACTTGAGAATTGGAGTGCCTTTGGTTGGTACCACATCGGTGCTAAGGTTCTTACCGATCTTATCCCTTAACGAAGGACACATGCGCCCGAAGGCAAGCCCACTCTAAGTTGAGTCTATTTTCATATATTAACACATAACAAAAAGCTCAATCTAAAACAAATTAGAACACGATCGAACAAAATTGAATTACGCCCAAACAACAACAAAATCCCTAAATCATAGAAACCCTATGAGAGGGTACGTAGATTCAAACTTGACAAGATTGGTTATCTTTTCCTTTTTTCTTTTTTAAAAACATATATATTTTCTCTTCTTATTTCGATCAACTATGAAGTTCAATTCAAATTGAGACCTCTTTCACCATTAGAAAGAAACATAACACTTGACCAAAAATGAAAATAACGGGTATTGGCCTTGAAGAAAGGGTATAGGATTATAGCAATACCAGAAATGAGAAAATATCATCTTATTCTTTATTATTTTAAATTAGAAATGATTTCATTCTCAATCTGTTTGCTCTTCTATTGTTCAATGATAATTGGTGCTGCTGCTATAGGCGTCATCACTGGTGTGACAGATCCCGCACCATCAAGATATGGAATTAGTTTTAGATTAATTATAATTAAAGTGTGTGATGCACAATAAATTAATGTCCATCAGATTGTCATGACATGCAGCTACATATGTCACCATCCATCCATTGATTCTATTGCAATCCAGGCTGATGCCAGGAATGGGCTGTGTGCACAAATGGTCAAATTTGACATATTGACAGTTCCTGCAGTCTGGTCTGCAGGGGTTTAACTTTTTATTTATTTTTAACTCTGGGGTCAGCCCAAAAGGGCCAAAATCTGTGACATCCCTTGCACCTATGATCTCACAAAATTATTATTATTTTGGGTAAAAAACTCAGAATTCTTTTACAGTAACTAGATTTAGTTTGTACAAATACAGAAACCTGGTTTTAATATCTTGACAGAAACTGAACAAAAGATACCAAACAAAAGATATGTTCCATATATTAAGACAAGCATATTTTACAAATAAAGTAGTTGGAAAAAGTCCAAGAGGATATTTTGTAGGGTTTTCTTCTCCTCGGACCAAACAAGCATTAAATATAAAAGGCATCCATTGGGTAGTTCTAGAACGGATTAGCTTTGCTTGATCTAACGGCTGACATTTTTTATGGATCATTTCTAGGCTTTTTGGGGCTATTTCCATTGTGGTGAAGTGGATCAGGACCAGAAGGAACCTTCCTTAACTCCCACCCAACCAAGTTATGCTTTCCATTATCAGCAAAATTACCAGCACTTGCAGCTGCTTGTTCATGCAGCTCCACACCCTTAGCAACAACAACTTCTTCCTCCTTCTCAGCGAGCACCTGTGCATATATGCATGCAAAAGAAGCACAATGAGTAACAAATCTCTGTGCAGGGAAATGAATAAATGAGATTTATATATTGAAAATGTAAGTACTATTATGGATCGACCTTTCTGTTTTGTCTCAGAAAAACAGCTGCCTCAGCACCAAAGCAACCGTGGCCAATGCGTCTGCAATCTGGTAGCCACAGAAAAATTAATTTAATCACTAAAGCATTTGACTTTAAATAAAATAAAATAAAAAATAGAAAATTCCTGCAGTAATAGAGAGAAAGAGAGAGAGAGACCAGTGCTTGCAGCTTCCGCTATGTGCTCCAAGCACAACGCCACAAGGAAAACAAAACAGAAAACCATGGATGATCTGGATGCCATTTTTGGGATATCCTAGCACTTGTAGAACAAATCTACAACAACTTAAAAAGCAGGAGATACTAGAGAAGAGAGGAAAGTGTAAGTGTGTAGATGTTGGGGAAGGCCAGTCCCAATTTATAGAGCTGTGAAATCTGAGTTATCTTCACAAATGATAATTGCTCATGCAGCCATTTCTCTAAAAGTAGATGATTAAGTAGCTTTAGCCATTATGAATCTATGACACTTAAGACCCTCAGCTCAGCGCCGTCTTGATCAAGTATCCATCAAACCCCCACGTCACTCTGCAACTCATTGATTAATGTGCCACAACAAGCCGTCCTTAATTCCCTGCATGCACCACCTGGAAGTGGAAGACAGAGTACGTATCACATGTATGAACCAAAACCCTAATGAGTAAAATGATGTCATCCATGGATGGTTGATATATTTATGCCAACCATGTCAAATACCAACCGTACGATCATATATATGCTTTCCGTTATGCTTATATATATATATATATATATATATAGTATGAATATATAGCTATAGCTAGGGTACTTGCCTACAGCTACTGCAATGGTTGCTCATGATGGTGTATAATTATGGGTTAGTGGATTTATTTATTTTTTTATGCAGTCGATGATATTATCTGGGAGAGGCAACGATTCTGCATGATGGAATCAAGGAAATTAAGGCAGAAGATGCGGTTGCAGTGGCAGTAAGTATAATTAAACACTGTTTTTATTTACTGAGACTGAGTGACTGAGAGAGATTGACTGAGTGACTGAAGACATCAGGCACTAGATTTGGCAGCTGTCTTTATGAATCTTGTCAATATATCACCTTCTCTTCTTTCTCTCCCTCCCTCCTCCACTAGGGTAGGATCCATATCTTGCATCTGGTTTCTCCTTGCCTGGACTTTTAATTATATTTATAGGTGTGGTCTGGGATTGGACAGAATTAGGTACTCCACTAGGGTAGGATCCATATCTTGCATCTGGTTTCGCCTTGCCTGGACTTTTAATTATATTTATAGGTGTGGTCTGGGATTGGACAGAATTAGGTACATGCCATAAAGAAATAAAGATAATATAAAATACATTTTTAATTTAATTACTCTCTCCAGATAAATCTACGCCTGCCATTAAATCATTGCCTCCTAGACCTAGATACCAAAACCTTATCCCAAGCGTACGTAATTAACAAGTTTAAGATGCAAATATTTATATGCTTCTCCTTGCTGGAAAAAGAGAGATAGTAAAAGGATTGAAAAGACAAGTACAACATAAAGGGAAATTTGCTGCCAGGGACCGCGGGAGAGAATAAAGTGGTTAAGTAGTACAACGTTCCCAGTATCTGAGTGCCAGCTGGCCTGCAAGTGAACTAGGTGGTAAAAGATACTTTGAGAACGAAGTTTCTTTATCTAGCTTAATATATGTATGCATGATTAAAGTTTATTGATTTAGGCCGTTTAGTTGGTTAAGTTGGTTAAGTTCTTTCATCTTCATCTATATAGGTAAATGTTTGAAATTCCCAGACTCCCAATGTTTATTGTAAACCCCCTTTGAGGGATTGAGAGGGAATAACTAACTATAGTTGTAATTTTGACCCTAGAAGAAAAAAGAAGAAAAACTATACTTGTAATAGGTATACCCTTGAATTGTATTATTGGTTTATTTTGGTATGCGTCAATCTTTTTTGTCTGGCCGCATTGCTCCGGGATTTTTAGTTGACATGTTAGACTATAAAATAATTTTGTTCAAACAATATGAAGAAATTTGAGAATGTATGTAAGTTGTTAGAGTGCATATGAATGTATGTAGCCTTACAAATGTTTGATCAAATGCCTCAATGAAGTTGATAGACCTCCCAGTCGATATCATCCTTGAAATCCTTTCAAAAGTGGCCACAAAATCACTGTTTGGTTTGCATTGTGCCTCTAAGACCTTGTGTAGGCTAGTCAGATTATACAAAATTTGTCCTAGGGCTCTTCAATTGATGAAGTACTACAAAATATTGCTACTACCAATGCAGATCGTACTCTACACTTGATCAATTGGAAAGGATCCAAGGACATTGTGGATGGTCGTCCAAAAAAAAAAAGGACATTGTGGATGGTTTTTCAATAACAAAAGCTACTTTAATGAGTTGGTCCTGTATTCAAATTTTCCCTCGCTCAAATGGCATAACAAATGACAAATTGACTCGTTCATATCAGAACAAATATGAAATATTAAAGATTTAATTGTTATTGAAAAAAAGAAGAAGACAATCTCTCAAATATACATGCACCAAACCAAAACCAAAGAATATAAATATAAACACAAAATCCACAAACAAATAATACATGCATATTTAGACTTCAACCGTGATAAGACGGTTCAAAATTTACTATTTGTTTAGCTCATTGATTTATCCTTACCAAGATCTATCTGTATGTACAGATACATTTGCACATGATGTTATGGATGCCGCCAACTGTGTTGATTGTAAGGTGAAGTCAACGAGCTGCCCTTCCACAAACACACGCACGGAGGCGCGCAAGTAACACATGCAATACACATACGCATATATGTATGCTGTAAAAGAAGAATCCATATACACACCAAATTAATCATGTACGGGATGAGGTTCTAGGCCCAGCTGCTTCCTTGTCTTTCCCACAAAAAGATCTTTAGATTTGATCAGTCCTGGAATGCGTCCACTAATGGTTGTCAATGGGAACTGTGCAACCCCATGTTTCCTCCCAAGTGAAACAAGTGCCATTACTGAGTGAGGTTCATAAGTAGCCAGTTTACTTTCTTTTGCACCTGCTAGCAATAGCTTTAAGTTCTTTGCAGCCACCAAAGCCTGTTTTTGTGCCAAATACCCTTGTTTGATTTCCTGTGATGTTTGCACACAGCAAATGCATTAGATTTGCTTCTGATGCGTAGCCATTCCACAGACCAACATAATACTTCTCAAATTAAAATCCATATAATCAAACATACTATTTATTTTTCCTTTTTCTTTTTCCCCCTTTATTTGTGTGCAAGAGATATATCAGAATACAAGCGATCTAACTATAAGCATAAGGCATCATTGAGCAGATTGATCACAGAGATTGAATATTATCTAGCTCTTCCTTTTTCGCCCCTTGAAGGGGCACTTGCTGCTCAAATTATGCAGATTGAATATGGAAAATAGACTACTTGAAAGGAATGGCATGAAGCTAGCAACACATGATGTTTACACTAAGATCTCACCCAAAACAATCAGAACAGCATGAGGTAGAGACCACTTTTTGGAACTCGTGATCCACAGGTTATTTCAAAACACAAATCTTAACACACACTTTATGAACTCGATTATATTACATTAAATAATTAAACTATTTTAATCAATGAAGGACAAGTTATCATCACTATGTTAATAAATCTAAACTCAGGTTAGAATGAGATAATAATGACTCATAGCATAAAGTATACTCTAGTGTTTCAAAAGTAAAAGCCCGACTTCCCAACTTCCCTTAATAAAAAATGATTTGTTACTTTTATGCTAGATTTATCGAAACAAACTATCCTAGCAACTAAAGAATCTCATATAACAAGGTTGCAGCTAGCACTCACAGGAATATTAGTAATGTCTCCAATTGCAAAGATGTTCTTTCGACCTTTGACTCTCAGATTCTCATCAACCATCAACCTCCCATTAACATCCATGCTATTCTCTAATACTGTTTCTTTGAGCCATGCTGAACCCAGACGTTTCCCTGTGCACAGAAAATGACAATCTGCTTCAAACGTTCCCCCCTCTGAAGTTCGATATGTTTTGCTTCCTTCTGAGATATTATTTAAACTGACTGATTGCTCCAATATCACCTCAACTCTCCTTGATTTCAACCAATTCAGAGTCTTGTTTGCAGCTTTTGGTCCAATGAATTCCAGCAACCTTGATCCAGTGTGCACCAGAGTAACTTTCTTATCTGGATAATCAACAGCAATTTCTCCAGCAAGTTCTACACCAGTTGGGCCTCCTCCAACAATTAGAATTGAATTAGCTGATCTTATCTTTTGATTCTCTGCGAATGGAGAGATTAATGTTAAGTCAAGCACAATTAACAAAAGAACAGGATAAGGATATGCATAACATTAAATGTTATTATTACAAGTTCTTAACAAATCAGTTAATAAACGCAAATATTCTAGATTCAATTAACTGTGAATTGTGATTCTTTTAATTAGAAAATTCATCTTTTAACGCTGGTACATGAGTTTTATGGCTCAAAGTTCTGTGTCAAATATTAATTGGAATGCTAGGCCATCTGAGATATTGTCACCCTCCTTTGAGATATATGCAATCTGCCTTCTCAGCACTCTGTTTGGCAGTTCACAAAAGGGAAAGACATGTTTGGATTACAGTTTAGTTCCTTACCTTCTTGGAATTGACCAAGTCTCTCGGTCTTAGTTTTGGGAACACGATCTGCGTGACCAGTGGCAATGACAAGATAGTCATAGGGAATCAGACGTCCCGTTGCAGTCAGCACTTCAGTGTCCGAAACATTGATTGCTCTGGATGCAATAATTTGGCCATTGGTGAGGTAATCTATATGGTTGATCACTGATCTCTCCGCAAATGATGGCTCCACCATGGCTCTCAAGCTTGCCCATGGAATCTCAAAATATTCCTTCCTGATTTCAAATTTGTTTTCACTTAGAAGCAGAGATGATAAAGTTCTAGAGAAGTAAAGTTCTACAATATGTCATTTTTGACAGCTACAACCATCAGCAGTTCAGAATTACTAACAATGCTTCTCTTATGGTCAAGAATGAACTTACAGGGATAAAAGAGAGAGAGAGAGAGAGAGAGAGAGAGAGAGAGAGAGAGAGAGAGAGAGAGAGAGAGAGAGAGAGAGAGAGAGAGAGAGAGAGAGAGAGAGAGAGAGAGAGAGAGAGAGAGAGAGAGAGAGAGAGAGAGAGAGAGAGAGAGAGAGAGAGAGAGAGAGAGAGAGAGAGAGAGAGAGAGAGAGAGAGAGAGAGAGAGAGAGAGAGAGAGAGAGAGAGAGAGAGAGAGAGTGGTTTTTGGTTAGAAAAGTGGAATTCCACTATGTTTCTATGGTTTTCGTGTATGCATGATTTTTAACTTATTTTCTTGCCAACTATATGGATTAGCTGCAACACGCCTAGCCAGCTAGGATGAGTTATATGCCCAGCAAAGTCAATTACCTGATATCATGTTCATGTTTAACATTCCTATGTCCAAAAGACAGTACATACCATTTAAATGTCACAAGTGAGAAACTTCTTTTACACTCTCACTATGTTAACGGCAGGCCAGCTTTAACTTTAAGGTATATCCTATGAGTATGGGTTAACTTAAAAAAATGAATTAAGGAATCATTCATGTCTAGATTATTCAAGACAAGGGGTTAACTGGATTGAGTGGATGATGCATACGCTTTAAGTGAACAGCTTTCTAATTGATGCTTTCAAATGGTAACTAAATCAGAACGTCAAAACTACCAAAGCGAAAGAGTTCTGAATAGAAGTGAGCTGATTCCCAGCCAATAGAAATAAATTTAGAAACTAGCATGTGCATTATCCAGTGAACTTAACCTTCTGTACAAGCACGCGGCGGACACATGCGCATGCACGGGCGCACACACACTCACACACACATTCACAGAACATCATAGAGATTGCTTAGAGTTACACCCTATCCTCACCCTAAATTATTGAACTTGATTAAATTCCTTCTCAATCCCTTCATATGTACCAGGGAAGATAGACAAGTATAGATTAACCACCTTGACCACAACCAAATGCAGAGCCTACAATCAACTTTTAATACCCTAACCAAATTCAATACCTTCAATTGTGTTCTTTTGGGTTCTACTGGAAATGGTTATTAAAAAACAAGGCACACAGAAGGATCTGCGCAAGGTACTCCACCCTTTGCATTCCTTCAAAAATTGAAAACCAGATTGACTGCAATGTGGCTGAGTCTATATTGTTAGCTTTCAATTCTCACACAGCTACAAATCACTTTTACTTATAAGCACACAAGCACAAATACAAATAGTATTGCTGTCCACAAGTCAAATATACTACAGCAATTAATTTCAATTCTCCTAGTCCAGTAACTCAGGAGATCCAAGGACCAAAGAAATAACATATGGATGCAAATTACATGGGTTGAGGACATATTCCATGTTTCGAACCTTTTGCTTAAACTAAACAACATGATCACTATGAGACTAGAATACCTTCTATATCAGGGAACCCAAAAGTTGTTCTTTCCTAACCTACCAGATGCAGAGGCTGTAATTAGATTTCATCAGCAATCTATGATATACCATATCTTTGAATTAAATCGGAAATAGACGAAAAAAAGTATAAACCCATAAAGAGCATTTTGGTTTCTGTAGTTTAAATGGTCAAATATGCAAACAAAAGAAGAAAGAAAAACTTAAGCATCAGATTGCGACATCTGCTAAACAAACTGAAAAAAAAAAAAATCAACTTCAATTATTCAACAGAAGGGCATTCAGCTATGAGTGTGAGAGAGAGGGAGAGAGACGCATACTCATCAATGAGAGTGAAATCAGCAAGGAATTGGAGAGATTTGGCAAGAAGAGAGCCAGCAACACCCCCTCCTATGACCACCACTTTTTTTCTCTCTCTTCCCAATGCCAACTCCATCTTCTTCTCAATCAAAGGCTCCAAATATGATCAGTTCTGGTCCTAATTACAGACCACCAGAAGCACCAGAGCTAAATAAGCAGAAATGAATTGAAGGGTCAATGGAATTCAACAAAATTGTAAACTGTGATTGGCCAGCTAGTCCTCCTCAGGTTGAGAAAAGCAGGTAGTTTCAGGGAAGTCTTTCTCGTGCGCCAGCCAAGAACAAGTCTTTGTAGAACAGCTTGCACAGCAATTAAGTTATGAATCGTGTAGTTTTCAACTTCCTCCTGTACCTGTTTTCCGAAAAAATAAATAAAGGCTTTTTATTACAAATGGTTACTTAGGTTTACAAATTTTTTTTTTTATCACAAATGGTTTATGCCATTACAAATTTTGCTCATATGTCTAATCACATCGTGACATAAATAAATATTTTTTTATAATAAAAATCCATGTTTTTCTGCAACTTCCCATCCCCTCCCTCTACTCAGTCTCTCTCCCCCGATGTCCTCTCTCTCCTCCCTCTAGCCTCTCTCTCTCTCTTTCCCTCATCCCTCTCCCTTTGTTCTCTCTCCCTTTGTTCTCTCTACCCCTTTGCTCTCCTTTGCTCTCCCTCTCTCCTCCCTCTGCTCTCCTTCTCCCTTAAACATACAGTCCAAAAGTTAATTAGCTTTCTCTATTTTTTTTGTGGAAAAATTATATCAAAAGTTTGTTTGATCCAAATGATTAAGCCATTCAGTGCAAAAGAAGAAAATTCCTTTTTTCACTGGCCTAATGATTAACAGACAATAAACAGTTTTTTACTAAGAAAAATTCTTTGCAGACAGCAAATTTACTATCAAAATCTCATTCTCCCTGATGACTTCTTCCACCCATGTTCAACTAAATAATGTTTATAGGTCACAGCTTAAAAAGATATCGACTATTTATTGGTTGCAGCAGAGGGGGAGAGAGGGGGCACAGGGTGGAGATAGAACTGTCTCTAAGATTTTAAGGGTCCTATGCGAAAATTAAATTGGGGCCTCACATAATCTAATAAGAAAATACTATATAAAAACATTTTCATTGTCATCATTCTCATTATGCTCAACATTACCCACGCATTAATTCCTCAACATCATCTTGTTGTTGTTCATTGGAAATATTTTCATCAATTGTAGCATGTGATTCTTTAACAATGAATCTATCTAGAGCTCCTCTTTGAGATTGAGTCAATTCCTCGATTTTTCTTTTTCTAAGTCGTTTTGTATATCCAAAAACGTATTTTCTAGTAGGTGGCATGTTTAGATTACAAAGAAAATTTCCAAAACCCTATAACCTGGAAGATAACCCTAACAAGAAATAGATAAATAAGTTAAACAATATGGTAGAATATATTCAGATGTATTTCATTCTCCGAAAGGAGGTATTTATAATACAAGGTTACAAACCCTAGTAGGGTCAAACTGGGAAAACAAGTGGAATCCTAATTACATAATATCTATATAAAAGGAAATAAATAAAATAATATCCTAATAGAATAGGATATCTCTCGCTAACACTCTCCCTCAAGTTGGAGCAAAGACGTCACGCATACCCAACTTGTCAAGCGAGTTGAGAAAGATACTTGTAGAAACAGCTTTCGTAAGAACATCGGCTAACTGGTACTTAGAACGGATGAACGGAAAGGAAACAATCTCCGCATCCAACTTTTCTCTAATGAAATTTCGATCAACTTCCACATGCTTTGTACGATCATGTTGTACAGGGTTATGAGCAATTGCAATCGCAGCCATATTGTTACAATATAAATCCATGGGTTTCTTAGGCCCAAAACCAAGGTCTCTCAACAATCTCCT